CGATATCAACTATAAAAGGCGCGAAGAAGCATTAATGAAGAGATTGAATACCGGAACTACCACCTGTGATTATTAAGTCTAGCATTCAATACTCTGTTTTCGGCGATACTACTGAGCATCAGTGTTCATCATTAAATTCACTCTGTAAGAGAGCCGATAACTACTCTTTATTAAATACTTGAGTGATACTCAAGAGTGTGGACTCTTGAGAGGGCTTGTATCCTTACGGGAGTAAGGGGGAGTGATTGAGCGATTCAATTACTGTACCGAGGCACCAAGAGCCCTGTCGATCTTGGAAGATAGTGAAATACTCAGAGGTGTTCTGGGGACTGGAAGTAGGTCAAGTGGTTAAGACCGAACCAGTATAAATCTTGTGTCTTCCCTCTGTGGTGAAATTTCTCCTGACTCTGACTCTCTGTTTTTATTCAATTCTGTCACGCATTTAATTTAAAATTTTTGTAACTCACCCAATTCACCCCCCTCTTGGGTGAGATTATTTCTAACATTAAGATGAAAAGTAAACAAGATTTTTCTTTTATTATTATGTTGGTTTTTTTATATGACATAATTATGTTATATTTTTGTTGGATACTTGTGAATAATTATACACACACACACATCAGGTATCTAGCTAATTTTAATTTTTTTTTATAAAAAAAAGTTTAGATAGGTTGGGTCTCGGGAGCTCACCAAGACCAGGACTAGCTAACTTTAATTTACATAAAATATTCTCAAAATACCATTTTTAAACAATACATACACTCCTGAAGTATCATAAAATGAAATATTATCAACCTAATAAGATAAAATGAAAATATTTAGTTATTTGATTTTAAAAAGTAAATATGATATAAATAGTTTAAAGGAAAAATCTCACAAAAAGACTTTTCAAATGTTAAAAAAGATAAATCTGGGTGTTAAATTTGCATAATACCATATCATGGTGGGTGGACTAATTTGGAATATTAAAATGTTGCTAAAAGACACTACTACCCATATATAAGTTATATAGAAAGGATGATGCAATGTAGATAGACTTGTTATTGTTGAGGAACCAATTTTTGTTAATAGCTTGATTATTTTAGGCAGCATCTAAAGAAATGTTGCCATCCACTTTCAAATTTTAGAACTTTAATTTTACGAAGTTTTAATTGTCACTAAAACTTGTTATTGAGGAATCAATTTTTATTAATAGCTTACTTGTTTGTTTTAGAGAACACCTGGAAGATTATTCTCATCCATGTTCCAAGACTTTAATTTTACTCTCAAGTGTGAATTGTTAATAAAAGTTATTACTAAGCAATCAATTTTTGTTAATAGTTTATTCATTTTAGGCAATAGCTGAAGACTTGTTGTCATCCATTTTCAAGTTTTAGGACCTTAATTTTACCCAAATGTGAATTGTCAATAAAAATTGTTATTGATGAATTAATTTTTGTTCATAGCTTATCCGTTTTGTCATTCATGTTTTAAGACTTTAGTTTTAGCCAAATGTTAACCGTCAATAAAAGTTGTTATTCAGAAATTAATTTTTGTTAATAGCTTATTCGTTTTAGGCAATACTTGAATGATTGTTATCATTCACTTTCAAGTTTTAGGACTTTAATTTTATCCAAGTGTGAACTATCAATAAAAGTTGTTATTAAGGAATTAATTTTGTTAATAAGTTATTCATTTTAGGCAATACTTTAAAAATTGTTGTCATTCACTTTATTGTTTTAAAACTTCAATTTTATCTAAGTGTGAACTGTCAATAGAAGTTGTTATTAAGAAATCAATTTTTGTTAATAGTTTATTAATTTTAGGCAATAATTGAAGAATTGTTGTCATCCACTTTCACATTTTAAGACTTTAATTTTACCTAAGTGAACTCCTAATAAAAGTTATTATTGAGGAATCAATTTTTGTTAGGTTAAAATATACATTTGGTCCTTTAACTTATGTAAGGTTTCAATTTGGTCCCTTAACTTTAAAAAGTATGTTTTTAGCCCTTTAACTCCAAAATTGTTAGCCTTAAATGATGATTTTTTGTAACAATCATAATTGTTTGGAATATTGAACTTAATATCTTAGCATTTAATATATTTTATCAGTATTCAAGAGTTTAATATCATCATTTTTTATGAACAGTTTTAAGATTAGAAGACTAAAATTTTACTTTTTAAAGTTAAATGACTAAAATGAAACCTTATGTAAAGTTAAATGATTAAAAGTATATTTTAAATTTTTTGTTAATATTATATTGCTTTAGGTAATACTTGAAAAAGTGTTGTCATTCACTTTCATAATTTAAAACTTGGCTAAATTACACATAACTCCTTTCAACCTTAACTCAAGTACATATAACTTTCCTCATCTTTAAAAGTTTAAAAATTATGCCCTCAACATTTAGATCTTGACCATCAAACCCCCACTGTTAAAATGGCAGTTAAATTTAACAAAACGTGAGCCATGTCAGATCATTTAAAGTTAATTGGCAAATGACATGTAACTTTTTTATTTTTTATTAATTTATCCTGAAAATTCAGAATTTTTCTAAAAGGAAAATTTGTCATTTTAATAACAATCCCTAATTGCCATTGCCATCATCGTCTACCAGTCTCCATCTCTCCCAAGGTTTCTTGTTTTGCCTCTTTTTCGTTTAGTTTTTCATCATCTTTGTCATTCTGAAAAATGAACCTTGTGATTTCGATCCTAATCATATTCTTCCTCTAAATCCAGTTTTATTTATTATGTCTGTATCAGCGAAACACTGATAAAGTGCCAGCCTTTAATTTGCTTAATCTTTTACCAGCAAGTGATGAAGTCATACTATTTAAAAGCTGAGAAACCAAAATCGCCTGAAATAAAGAGGCTCCAAAAAGAATATTCCCCTTAAAGCTGATGGATGTAAAGATCGGATAGCAAGGCCTGTAATGGCTCAAAAGCATAGTCATGGATGCTGCTTGACTTGGTGAATCAACGCTTGAAAAAGGTGAAACTCATAAGGATGATTCTTCAAGGTGTTATTGCCATGGGAAGCATGAGAATGATGTTTTGAACGAAGAAGATGATAAAAAAACTCAAGGCAACGGTGCAAATTAAAAATGGAGAACTTGCAAGAGAAAAGTGGAGGGAGATGATAATGCCGTCAGAGGCCATGTGAATTAGCAAGCGGGCATTGCTCTTGTAAAATGATAAAATTATCCTTTTAGTGGAATTCTGAATTTTCAGGATAAATTAATGAAATATAAAAAACTTACATGTCATTTGTCAATTAATTTTAAATAGTCTGACGTGGCTCACATTCTGTTAAATCTATAGCCCATTTTAACGGTAAGGGTTTGATAGTTAAGATCTGAAAATTGTGAGTGTGCTTTTAAACTTCTAATTATATACAACTGAGTTAAAGTTGAAGGGAGTTATGTGTATTTTAACCTTAAAGCTTTAATTTTATCCAAGTAAGCCCTTAATAAAAGATGTTTTTGAGATATCAATTTTTGTTAATAGCTTATTCATTTTAGGTAATATTCAAGGGCAATAGCATTTTTTGCAAATATTTTAATATTCCAAATAGATCTACCTACCGTAATATGATATTATGTAAATTCAGCACTGATTTGTATTTTAAACATTTTAAAGGTCTTTTACGAGATTTTTTTTTTCTAGTTTTTTAAATTACCTAACTATCAACTTTGTGACTAATTATCTGAATAAATTATAATTCATAGTTCTTTTATTTTTTAGAAGAGGGAAAACTATTTTTCAAAAGATATTAACAAAAATATAAAAAAAAATTTATATCTCGCTTTATCCTAATGACATGAAGTGAAAAGTGAATAGAATTTTTTTTTTCATTTTTTGTCATGTTATTTTCCTATATGACATTGTTATGTTATAATATCGTTGAAGACCTGTAAATAACGTCATATATATTAGATTTGTGTGTGTGTGTGTGTGTTTTTTTTTTTTTTTTTACCGGCAGATTTGTGTATCAATATGTGTGTGCGTGTGTATATATCAGATTTGAACACGTCACATATCTACCTAATTTTAAGTTAGGTAAAAGATTCTCCAAATATCATTTTAAACAAAATCTACACTCCTTGAGGGTGTGTTTGGTATGAGGGATTTGGGAAAGAGGGAAGGGAAGGGGAGGGATTTTAATCATTTCCCCTTGTTTGGCAATACACAAATTTTAGGAGGGGAGGGAAAAAATTTTTAAATTTCCCCTCCCCTCCCCTCCAAAATTGGGAGGATTTGGAGGGAAAGGGCAATATTTTGTCATATTATAATCATTATGCCGATATTTTGTCATGTTGTGACCATTATGTCTATATTTTGTCATGTTGTGACCATTATGCCCACGCTTTAAATAAAATAAGAGCAAATTTGTCCATATTAAAATATTTTTCCCTCCCCTCCCATCTTTTTTTATAAATCCAAACAAGATAATATTAAAATCCTTCCACTGCCCTCCCCTTCCCTTCCCTCCATTAAAATCCCTCCCTTCCCCTTCCTCTCATTGAGCCAAACATACCCTAAGTGTCACAAAATGAAATATTATCTACCAAATAAAATAAAATCATAATATTAATTATTTAATTTGAAAACGTAAATATGATATACATTTATAACTTTCCTCTGTATTGTCAACTGTGAGTATTAATTAATAGAAGATTAATGGTTTTAGGTTTTTATTTTTTATGATATTCTCACTGAGTATTATATATAAAGTATTAAAAATCTAATAATAAATTCTTTAGATGAACCGCGTAACTTAAACTTTAAAAATCTAAAAAATATTTTAAACTTAGTATCTCATTTTTCTTTTGAAGAGATGCTAACAGACATATATGTGCGTGTGTATCTATATCTATATCTATATCTATATCTATATCTATATCTATATATAAATCGTTCAAGATCTGATTTCTGAAACATATATATTCGGCTTCAAATTGAGAAGACTTGCATCCTCTCTAAGATTTTCGTAAAAAAAGAAAAATCATTGAATCACGATGAATTCAAATCCGGATGGAAAGCATGTGATCGTTCGCGAAGTTTGGGCTTCAAATTTAGTCAGTGAATTGTCTTTGATTCGAGCTGCCATGCCTACCAGCTGTTTTGCCTCCTTTGATACTGAGTTTCCTGGAACAATTATTACTCCAGATGTGGATAAACGCTCTTACTCGAAGCTGTCTCCTCCAACTAATTACAGTTTCATGAAGGCCAACGTCGATGAATTGAAAATCATCCAAATAGGTCTTACGCTCTCTGATTCTGATGGGAATTTGACAAACTTTGGGACTCCAAATGGATACATTTGGCAGTTCAATTTCTCCGACTTTGATGCTGAGCATGATTGCCATAACGTTGAATCCATTCAGCTATTTGAGAAGCAAGGGATTGATTTCGTGAAGAACAAGAGGGGATTCCGTCGTGGGTTTTCCGGAATTTTGTTTTAAACTCCGGATTATTGTTCAATCCTCATCTCACATGGGTCAAATTCCACAGTTCTTACGATTTTGGGTTTATGATCAAACTTCTAATTGGGAGACAACTACCTCCCAATGTTCACTTGTTCAGACAGATGGGGGCCCGGTTCTTTGGACCCAAAATTTATGACATGAAGCATATTATCAAGTTCTGCAATGGCTTATATGGTGGCTTAGAGAGGGTGGCTGGGACGTTGAACGCGGATCGTGTAGCTGGGAAGAACCACCAAGCTGGATTTGATAGCTTGCTAACTCTACAGACATTTATGAGGTTGGAGTATCTTTATTTCGATGGAAATCTTGGGCTTCCAAAATTTCAAGGGATTCTCTATGGTCTCGAAGTCAATCCTATTATACCAACTCTGAAACCTGGGAATTCACTACTGCACATTCCTGCCCCGACATTTTGTGGTCTCCGTCCAGTAGTACTTATGTCTACTTATTAGTTTTTCTCATTGTATATTTAAAAAAATAGGAGTCATTCTTCCATTTTTTTCCCTTTGTAATATACATTTTTCCATTGATGCTATATGATAGGTTACTTTGCGTAAATCTCATGGATAGTTTTACTATGTTAGTGATTAATGTATCTATTCTTTGAGTCTTTTGACTATTAGCATTTCAAAGATGTGCATATTCATTAGTAATAATAAGACTCTTATTTTTACGAGTGTTTGATGGATTTTATGTATCACTATAATGATTTGGTTGGACTTTAAGTAGGAAAGCTTTAAATATGTATACAGTAGGCTATATAGGAAAGTTTTCTTGGATGCTTCAATCTTGTGGTTGTCGTATAGGATTTCCAGCAAAACCAACTCTATATTTATTCAGTCCCTGTCCTTAACAGATGTTCATCCTCACATTGTCTATGAGAAGTCAGATTAAAAAAAACAAGGCATCAATATCTGCTAGTGAGTTGAATGACTTTGGTGATTTCTGCAAGAATGTTCAAAATTCATTGCTGCTATATTCATTGGTGGATTTGAATATGACAGAGAAGTAAATGAGAGACTAGTCTAATGAATGTTAGCTTAGTGAGCTTTTTACAGTTTTCTTTGCTCTTGCTCAGATCTACACCCTTGCAGATCAGTAATTTGAATTCTTTATCACGCTAGGTTCTATCAGACTATCAGACTTGTGAACTAAAGGGTGATGAAATAAAACACTGTAATGGAACAAATTATATGCTTAATACCTGAACTGTGGAACATCAATTTGTATAATGTAATTCCATTAGCCTTTAGGGTACTCTTATTCTCTTCAAAATTTTGGACTCCTGAAGCTTCTAGCCTCACACCACAAACAGTACCAATACTCATTGGTTATTCTAGCATTTAGAAATCCTCTAGCCTCCGTAAATATTTCGTACAGACTACAGAGGCACCCATATTCTGTAATTTTTTTTTTCCTGATATGAAAATATACCTTCACATATAAACATTCTGTTTTCACTTCAGTAAAAGCCGAATAGCATCCCATCAATCAAAGCTTCAGATTCGAAATGCCTGAACTTAAATCAGCAACTACAACCTTGGATAATTGTTCCTCCCTTTCATGAGACATACTTCCTCAACAACTCACCCCCTGTTTCAGCAATAACTACACTTTTCTGCCATTGATGATTTGGTTGGACTCGGATGATTTCTCATGTTCACTTAGTATAAAAAAATTTCGAAGAGACTGATATATAACTATTTATATATATATTGAAAGTATTTTTTCGTAGTTTCAATATTTTTATTTACTGTGTACAATAAAAGTCATCAACCTTGAACAAGTAAATATGATATAAATTAATAACTTTACTCCAAGTCATTGTTTATTATTATATATTGATTTATTAGTTAATTAATTAATAGAACATTAATGAGTTTAGGTTTTTATTTCTATGATATTCTCAGAGAATATTATATGTATTCGAAAAGTGAACGCATTTTTTATATTATATTAATAAGTTGTATTTTCATAGGAGAATTGTGAATAATTCTGTGTCCATAAAATATTTCTACATATCACATATTTAACTTATTTTTAGTTTTAATTTAGATAAAACATTTTCGAATCATCACTTATTATTTATCTACACTCCTGTTGTATCATAGAATAAAATATTACCTTCTTAAGAAAATATTATCATATCGCAATGCTTATAATTTTGGTCAAAAAATATCAATGTTAATTATTTGATTTAAAAAGATAATATGATATAAATCTATAGCCTTACAAGTCATTGTCTATCTTTATATATAAATGAATTAATATTTAATGATTAATAGAAATAGATTAGCTGTTTTAGGATTGTTTTCCTAGAATATTCTCATAAAAATATTATAACCTAACTATAAATTTTATGAAAAATTATCTAAATAAATTATAATTCATACATCTCTTATTTTTATGAAGACAGGAAAAGATTAATTTTGAAAACGCTTTGACAGAAATATAGAAAAATAAATAGTATTTTTATCTCGATTTACCATATGCTGAAATGAGATGAAAAGTGAACATGATTTTTCTTTTTCTTTTTTTAACTATGTTATTTGTCATAGGGAAAATTTCCAAAAAAAAAATCTTTAAAATTTTAAAGTCCCAAATCATGAATGATTACAAAAATGTGTTGTTATTTGCTTTTTAAATATTATTAATTATTATTAAATTGTAATAAATAAAACTAACGTGAAATTTTGAAATTTAAAAAATATTTTTTTTGGGATTCTCCCTTTTTTTTATATGATATTATTATGTTATATTTTCATTGGAGGGCATATCTACCTAATTTTGATTTACAAAAGATCCTCGAAATATCATTTTAAACATCATCTACATTCCTGAAGTAAATATGATATAATGACGTTAGCCTATAAACTTTAGAATAGATGTATGCAAGGTTATCAAACTCATGAGTTTAAGTAAACTCTTGGCAAAGATGTAAACTCGGATGATAAACTTATAAGATAAGAGTTTACTTCTATCAATAAATAGTTATTAAAAATATATAATTAAATAATTAAAATATTACAAAATTATGATTATTTGGTTTAAATATATTTGAAATCCAAAATATTGAGTTAAATCCATCAATATTAGAATTTTTAATGAATTTTTATGAAGTTCATGTATGATACCACTAAACACAATCAAATTAACAAAATAATTTGAAATTCATAGTAGATTTTACGTTGCTCCATTCCATGGTTATCTTAGGATATTCTCATAAAAATATTATATGTAAAATTTATTTTCAAATTAGTATAACAAGGTATAAACACCTAACATTAAATTTTGTGAAATATTATCTGAATAAATTATAATTTACATCTATGATATTTGAGAAGACAGAAAAAAAATTAATTTTGAGAAGTTATTAACAGAAATATAGAAAAATAAACTGTATTTATATCTCGATTTATCCTAAAAGTGCCTACTTGAGATGAAAAGTAAACAGGATTTTGCTTTTGTTATTCTTTATATTTTTTATATGACATAGTTATGTTATACTTTTGTTGGAGACTTGTGAATAGTTCCATAATAAGTATATATGACATATCTACCTAATTTTAATTTACATAAAAGATTCTCGAAATACCATTTTTAAATATTATCTACATTCCTAAAGTATCATAGAATGAAATATTATCAACTAATAAAATAAAATCATAATATTAATTATTTAATTTTAAAAAGTAAATATGACATAAATAGTTTAAATTACCTAAATATAAATCTTGTGAACAATTATCTGACTAAATTATAATTCATACATCTTTTAGTTTTGAGAAGAGGCGAAAAATTATTTTTGAAAATATTAACAAAAATATAGAAAAATAAATAATATTTATATCTCTATTTATCCTAATGATATGAATTCACAAGTGAATAGGATTTTTCGCATTTGTTATTATGTTATTTTTTTATATGAGATTATTATGTTATATTTTCGTTGAAGACTTGTAAATAATGTTACGTGTATTAGATTTGTGTATCAATATATATATGTGTGTGCACGCGCGCGTATCAGATTTGAACACATCACATATCTACCTAGTTTTATTTTACATAAAAGATTCTCCAAATATCATTTTTGTACATTATCTACGCTTCTCTACAAAATACTATCTACCACATTAAATCAAATTGTAATAATATAGATTTATAACTTTCCTCTGTATCGTCTATTGTTTTATATTGATTAATTAAGGGTTAATGTATGCCCAGCACCCCATAATATTTTCCCAGGTGCTTCCAGTGTCCTAAAGTAATTTTCAGTGCATCAAATGTCCCAAACTAATTAAAATGATGCGTCCATATCTTGGGCTAACAAAAAAGTTAAGCTTGACCGTTACGTTGTTGGCTCAGCCGAAGGTTGACCAAAAAATCCTAGGTGGTGGACACACAAGTGTCTGATGTGTATTATTTTGACTGAAAATTCAATTTATTTCCCCCTCTTCTAACATTTATCTTCTGCCAGTTTTTAAACTTAAAAAAAAAAAGAAGAAGAAAGACCACTGATCCACCCTCTTAAATCCTGATACATGTATCACCCATTCAATCCCGTCCTCGTCATTAACATTCTATCCCATTTCTTCCACCACTCCGATTCGAAACCACAACTGCCATCACAGCACACTTCCGTCTCCATCTTTGTCAACTTCTCATCTGACTCGCATTTGCTTTCCTCCTCGTAGAACATAGTAAACTTCCCCTTGGTCACTCCGTCGACATCACCGTCGCTTCTCAAGAAAACACACGTTGCCACTGGGCTCGTCTTGGGAGCTTTAGTCAAAATAATACACATCAGATGCTTGCGTGTCCGCCATGTAGGATTTTTTGGTCAACCTTCAGCTGAATCAGCAAGGTAACGATCAAACGAGACTTTTCTATTAGCCTGTGATATGGACACACCGTTTTAATTAGTTTGGAACACTGGATACACTAAAAATTACTTTAGGACACTAGGCGTGCCTGGA